AATCACAGGTTTTGCCGACCTGTCGACATTCAGTCTGTGGTAAGTGACCTCGGGGTCAATGCCAGGCATTTCGTAAGGTGTCCAGGCGAACACCTCAAAGTTGGCTCTCAAAAAATCTTCCAGTTCTCTTTCCTCTTCTTCGGCTAAGCCTGAACCGAGAAGAAAGAAGCGTTCTTCATCCCCATCCTGGACGAGGATTTTCTGTAGCGCCTCTTCACTCTTCTCGGCTGGTTCTTTGCCGACGTCTTCTAGGACTTCCACGTCCTCATCTTCAATTTCTGCCTTCTTTGGCTCTCGTACGCAGCAGGTGGACTTCATTGATGCCATGGAGCAATTTTTTTCCTGTAGTTGATCTCCTCTGATTTCTTCAATCCCATGCTCTGTTGGGAACCGGCATTTCGTAAGGTGTCCAGGCGAAAACCTCAATGTTGGTTCTTAGAAAAGTTTCCAACTCTTTCTCCTCTTCTTCGGTTAAGCCTGAGCTGAGAAGAAAGAACCGTTCTTCATCTCCATCCTGGACGAGGATTTTCTTTAGCGCCTCTTCGCTCTTCTTGGCTGGTTCTTTGCCGATGTCTTCTAGGACTTCCACGTCCTCATCTTCAATTTCTGCCTTCTTTGGCTCTCATACGCAGCAAGTAGACTTCATTGCTGCCATGGAGCAATTTTTTGCCTGTAGTTGATCTCCTCTGATTTCTTCAATCCCATGCTGTGTTGGGAACCGCAGTAGTTGATGCAACGTTGAGGGAACTGCCCCCATTGCATGCAACCATGGCCTTCCCAAGATGATGTTATATGGCGAGGGTGTGTCAATCACCATGAATTCTGTTTTGATCTTCTTAGTACCAGCTTGTACTTCCACGCTTGCTGTGCCTAGTGGCCACGTCGGCGTTCCATTGAAGCCGACCATCGGGTTGCTGGATTGTTCTAGGTCGTCAGGATGAAGGCCCAGCTCCTTGTAACATCTGATATACATGATGTCGCAAGAACTGCCTTGATCAAGTAGGATGCGTTTCACTTGGCATTCCCCAACCTGGAGGGATACTACCAAAGCATCATTATGCGGATGCTGGACCATCTCTAGGTCGGCTTCAGTGAAGACTATCGTCGGTCCTTGGCATTCTTCAGGCCGAGGTCTTTTATGTCCGATCTAGTTCACGTACTGCAGGTGTTTTACTCTTTGGGTTTCTCCCCGAATGTCGTTCTCGTTCACTTTTGAGTGAATGACATTAACCACCCGTGGTCCTCCTGCCTGTGGTTGTTGTGCTGGGGGAGGCGGAGCTGCAGGTGCTTGAGGCAATCTTGCTTGTTCTTCTCTTGTCCTGGCCTCATCAACAAGGTCCCTCAGATGGCCTTGCCTTACTAGGTCTTCTAAGTGTGCTTTTAAGGCTCTGCAACCCTGAGTTGGGTGTCCTTCTTCATTGTGGTAAGCACAGCGCCTACCAACGTTTCTTCCCATAAATTCCCCTGGTGCTCTTGCCGGTGCCCTGAATAGGGTTGATTTCGTATTTGATCCAGGATTTTATGGATAGGGATTCGGAACACCGTCGTCACTGGTTGTTTACCCTTCAATTCTGTTTCTTGTTTGGTCGGCCCGTTGTTACCTCGGTCTCGCTTCGGCGAGCCATTTCCCTTCTCCTATTTTATCTCTTTGTTTCCCAACGTATCTTCCTCGGCTCTGTGTACTTCTTGATTCTCGCCATGAGTTTTTCCATACTTTTTGGCAATATTTTTGCCAAAGACTTCCGTAGTGGGCAGTCATCTTTCAGGCCGTTCTTGAAAAACATGACCGCCACTTCTTGGTTGCATTCGGGTATTCAATTGAACACCTCGTAGTACCTCTTTGCGTAGGCCCTAAGGCCTTCTTCCTTGGTGATTCTTAAAGCCATCAGGGCGTCGACCCTCAAGGGCTGTAGTTTATTCGTCACAAACCTGGCCACAAACATCTCGGTCAGGCCTTCCCACGTCTTTACGCTTCCCTTCGGTAGTTTATGGAACCAATCGGATGTAATTTCTCCAAAGGATGAGGGGAATACTTTGCAGAGCAATGGCTCGTTCCCACTATATAACGCCATTGAATTCAAGTATAGTCCAACATGAAAGTTGGGATTTGACTTACCATCATAAATTTGGAACCTCGGCATACTAAATCTCTTTGGCGCTTCAAATTTATCCAGTTCCACCGAGAACGGTGTCCTCGGCTTAACTGGGAAAGTTACCTCGGCTTCAACATTTTGTTGCTTCCTTTTGAGGTAATTCCTCAAGTCTTCTTTACTCCTACCTGGAGCTCGGCTATCTCTGGACTTCAATCTTTTTGGTACACTACTTTCGGCCTCGTGGTTGGTTCGTTTCGATCTTTCCCCATGGGTTGTGTCAAAGCAGAGTGCTTGCCCTTGAACATGCCGATGTTCTTTGGGTTCAGGGTCCTTCGAGTGATACGTCCTTCGGGACTCTTCTCGTCTCGGCTCTTCTCGCCCGTCTTCCCTGGAAGGTCGGTGAGAGTGCCTTTCGCTCCTGGTGTGCTGAGGGACTTCGGGGATTATTTTTCTTCCTCCCTTCTGGCCATTGGTTGCTGGCATCGGCGTGTCTTGCAGCGGGTATGGTGGCTGCATGACATTAATTTGCATCATGAAGTTGACGACTGACTGTAGGTCCGCCAACTTGTTTGTCAAGTCTTTTACTTCCTCATCCCTCCGTAGGCACTGATCCCTCCATACCTGAAGGTTATCTTCGTTATAGTATTTGCCATGGCCAGTCTTCTTTGAAGTGTTGCCGACGTCTTTCTCGACGTGGCCTTGGTCATGAGTTTCTGCATTGTGGTTGTCTCCTTCAATATCAAGGTCAATTGGTCTACCACTCCCAGCAGGAGTGTCGCCTCCAATGTTTTTCTTCTGTCCGTTACTGGCCATCTGTTCTTCTAAGATTCCCACAGACGGCGCCAAATTGTGTGGGTGAAAATCTGACCACACTGCCCGCCTAGTAATCAGCTGGAGAGCACCGGCAGAATAGATGGCTTTAGCAAACCTGTAACAGAAAGAAAAAGCCTCCGGCGGTGGCTCTTCCACCCGGGGGCACTCCGACGATCAAGTCAGTATATCTCTCAAAGATAATCAAGTGCTAAACTCACAAGCTTAAGCATAAAACTGCGTACCTTAGACCCACGGGAGTGCCTCTCTTTTATAGTTTACTCAATCCAAGTCCTACTAGAAGCCTGACTTCTATGGACTCCAATTCAATACTGACTTTGGACTCTTCAAGAGATAAAGATAAACTCCCTAAGAGTTTTATCCTTATCTTTAGCAAAGTCTTCTCTTTACTCTAGGACTCTTGTCCCTTATCCGCTTATCTCGGATTCCGATATCTTCGGAGATAACCTCGGCCTCGTCAAGATAACCTCGGCACAACTACCACGACACGTGGCACCTCGGCTGACACATCGGCGTCACCATGCCACGTGTTGGTACTCAGAAAATATATCCCCACACAAATGTAAATCAAGATATCAAGGTGAACTCAATCGCTTGTGAGAGTGAAGGGAGTAGATCATAAACCTATCATCGTTAATATTATTTTAGATCTTTGTTGAATTCATCTTTGATAGGATTATAAATTTGTTGTTGCGAGGCTCTACGTTATTTAGATTGTGATTTCACTATCATCATCTAGATTGTGATCATTAAGAGTAACTATCATTCAAAGATCACAAGAATTATGATGAAAAAGAGTTAAAGTTGTTAGTATCATTATCATCGTCTAAAGATTAAAAAGACAGTTGAAAAATAAAGAGAGTAAAGAGATAGAAAGAGAAAAAGTTATGAACGAGAGAATTCTCAAAAGAAATGTTAAAACTTAATAGTAATCAAATATTATGAGTTTAAAATGCAATTTAACAAGGAATAAAAAAACAAATGGTTAAAAAGAAGAATATAATTGTGCCAAAATCACATTTGCATATGTGAATTAAACATTAACCCGCGAATATTTTGGGAAGATGGTAAAAAGTAATTTTTTGACTTTTAATCAAACTTTTGACTTTTTTAGATAAATAATTTGAAAAGTTGATAAAAAGTTGCCTTTGGCGTTTTTGATTAATATTTGTTTATGATGTTAAATTACAATAAAATGACAAAACTATCTCCATTAATTTAAAATATTTACCACTTCATTAATGTAGAACATTTTGACTCATGAGAGGTAGAATTGTAATTTTACCAGTAGCTAAAAACCAACTTCCCAAATAAAAAAAAAATGCAAAAAAGCTAACTTTTACATTATGTTTGGATTGAGTGATTTGGAGAGAAAAGAAAAGAAATGGAGAGATATGTATATCTCTTACTTGTTTGGATAACTTAAGTTGAGAGAAATGAGAAAAAATTGAGAGAAACTCATTTCTCTTATAAGTCTCATTTTCAATCTTCTTAAAAATGGAGAGATTGGGAGAGAAAAGAAACTACTATTTTCATAATACTAATTTTGTCCTTATAAAAATAAAAGAAATAAAATGATTGAAAATATAAAAAGGTTATTTTGGTAATATAACATAAAATAATTTCTTTTTTTTCTCTTAATGAAATCTAACCAAATAAGAATGAGAGAAATCATAATCATTTCTTTTCTTTTATTTCTTTCTTATCCAAATAAAAAAGAAATAAATCACAATCATTTCTTTTCTTTTCTCTTATAACTTAAATAATTATTTCTTTTCTTTTCTTTTTCCTCTTTTAAGCTTCCAAATGGAAAATGTCTCGTAGCTCAAATTTTGTGGCTCAAAAGTGGCTCCATTTTTGCCATTTTTATGTTGTTCTGTACTTAAAACAACGTCGTTTTGGCCATTTAAACCACTTTTGAGTCACAAAATTTGAGTTACGTAGCATTGTCGCTTCCAAATATAGTGTTAGCTTTTATTACGAATCAAAAAAAAAAAAATTACTAAAAGTCAACTTCCCAAAATAGCACTAGAAATCGGGATAACACGGATAACCTTGATACGAATAGGATAGGAGGAATAGGGATTGCACTAGAGAGAGTGGAGAGCCAAGAGAAGCAGACTCCGCAACAGGCTGATGAGTACCAAATTGACCTGCTTCCACTACTCCAAGAAGACTCTCACGCACACTTGAACTCTGCTCCTCCCCAAAACAATGCTTCCCTCCTCCGCCGTCTTCGGCGGCGCCTCCCTCCTCCTCCTCCTCCTTCTCCTCCTCACGACCACCCTCTCAATCACCACCACAGCCTCCGCCCCAATCATTGGCCTTGACTCCTTCCTAACCCAACAAGCCCGCCTCGATCCCCAAGCTTCCAGCGACTCCTTCCTCTCTCTCTCCTCCTCCCTCAAAAAATCACTCTCTCTCTCCCACCACCATCCCCCCTCCATCTCCTCCCTCCTCTCCCTCCAACTCTCCGTCCCCGTCACCGTCAAACTCGTCGGCCCCGATTTCCCTTCCTCCGCCCCCTCCATCCTCCACTCCTTCCTCTCCGCCTCCATCTCCTCCGACAACTTCCACATCATCGCCCCTTTCTCCCCCCACCTCCACCACCTCTCCCTCACCCACTCCCTCCACCTCGATGTCTCTCTCTCCTCCTCCTCTCTCTCCTCTCTCCTCTCCGACACCCTCCGATCCGAAGTCGCCAAATCCCCTTCCTCCCTCCGATCTCCTCTCCTCTCCGTTCCTTACTCCTCAATCGACCAAATCATCAGACAAGACTTCGAAAAAGAGAAGCCTGTTCAAGGATTTTTCATCTATTTGCTCAATCTAGGCGCATCCAAATCCAAACCCTACGCTTACAGTTACGGTTTCGGTGATTCATCCCCTGCGTTTACCAAGTGTTTGGGGAGCGTTTGGACCGGTAAAGATCGTTACTTGTGGATCGATTTGGCCGCCGGTCCGGTCGATTACGGGCCGGGCTTGTCCGGCGATGGGGTTTTACCGAGGGGCGAGTTTCATCCGTTGGCGGCTTTGCACGGTCGACCTAAGTCTCAGAAAGCATTGCTTGCTGATCTTGCTTCTCTTGTTTGGAGTGCTTATCAGGTACTTCTTGTGCCCTCTTTGAGAATTCCTGTTCCTTTTGAGAATTCATTGATTATACAGTTCATACACATATATGGGTCGGATAGTAAGGATATAAATGGTTTGGATTTTAAATCGATTGAGAGGACTTTCATGGACGAGGTTAATGATGGTGCGTTGTTGTTGGGTGATCAATCATTGAGTTTCAAGACTTATGATGTGCGTTATTCTGAGTGTTCGATTTGTTCGTTTGCCATTTCGAGGGCGACTACTTCATATACTTCTAGGTACTTGTTTGATAACTATACATTGATTGTTAATGAGTACTTGGATTCGAAGCGTTTGCATCAGATATTATCAGAATCGACCGATGAATTCAGGAGGTTGGCAGGGTTTCCAGAAGAGGATTTTGGGAGGGTTCTTCCTGTTTATGTTTTCGATTTGGACTTCAACACAATATTGTTGCTTGATCGGTATCACCAATCTGTTGCATTTAAAGATATGGTTGTTGCAGTCAGGACAAAGAATACTCAAACTGTGAGCGATTATAGTTGTAATGGTCGTCATGTGTTTACACAAACTCGGGAGCTTGAGAGACCACTCGTCGGTTCAATTTTACAGAGTATGTGGGGAGTTTCACCGACTCATCTATTGTGGAGCCCTAGGCACAATAGCACTTTGGTGGATTATACATGGAGTGTTGGGCAGACTCCATTTGGGCCATTCTCGGAGATTTCGTCGCTGTCTTTCGTGCAGAAGGATGCAGCTCGTAGGAATGTCCTCCTGACATCGTTGAATTACAGTATTACTAGTGCCATCGATGTTCTTGAATCCATAGCATCACATGGTGGGGATAGAAAACTTCTTAAACAGAATCGGCATACTGAATTTATCCAGAGGTGGAATTTGTTCAAGCACAAGCTGGACAAAGCGGTTTCTGCCTTGTCACATTTGGATTTTGAGATGGCTTTGTGTTTCTTGAGATCTTCAGATCATGATCTGTATGCCATCCACTCTCTTATTTACCAGGCATCCCAAGAACTTGAGGCATCACTTGTTTGTTTCAAGGACCCTCCATTTCCATGGACATCAGCTTTAATGTCCGCAGTTGTTTTCTTCGCCGTCATTTTTGCTTATGTGAAAAGAGACAAGTTATTTAGGAACAAAAGAAAGCAGTTTTGAGGTTCTAAAGCATCGGATGATTGTAATAGTTTAACATGAGGACATGTGTTTTCATAATAGAGGTAGGTTGGAAGGTCAGGAACCAGTTATCAGTTTGATCTTAAAATGTACTCCAGTTTGAATTATCAAATTGGCTTCTGTTCATTTGTTTGGCAACTTCATGTAAATTTCAGGTTTGTGCTCTTAACTTTTCTGCAAATGTGCTTGCATTTGAAGTTGCATGGTACTTATGTCACATGTCTTTCTTCGAATGCTGATAACTTCTTTTTTTACTTGCCTTTTGGTTGCATACAAATCCATGACGTATCATATATCTATTCTTGAAGATTGTCCTGTTGATGCTTGAAAGAACATGGTATTCAGAATTTCTTAGTAGTATTATTACTTCAGAGCCACACCAATTTTTATTTTTTTTCTTTTGTTTTTTGTGCGTGTGTGTGAGCATGCATGTCTTATTTTAAGTCAACATTCTTGGTTAGAGGACTAAAACCGCAATAACTATGTTTAAAGTTTGAAGCCCTGCAAGTGCAAGGTGGCTTAGGTAGAGTTAGCAAAAATCTGGTTTAGATGAAATCGATAGGGAAAAGTCGACAGACAAAATCAATTTTCACAAACAACTAACAAATCAAGCAATGTGGTTGGTGTTCTTTGCCTTGACAGTTTGAAGGACTTTTTTGGAGGTAATCGACTGAGAGAAACAAACTAAAAACTGAAATTGTATTGTTGAAATTGTTACTTGTTACAAAGATCTGAGCAAGAATAAAAACAAAAATACAAAAGAACCATAAAAAAGTTTATTGATTACAAGAATCAAAAAATAATTAGAGAACCACTAAATTAAAACTACTCCTAGAGGAAATAAACTACTCCTAAAAGTTAAGGTAATCTACTCCTAGATTAAGATAGACTACTCCTAGATAAAGAACTCTGATGAGTTTGATGTTTTGTTGATCCTTTATTTGAATTTGCCGTAGCCTATTTATAGGCTCATGTCCATGTTTCCTTCAACAACTGCTTCGGCAGTTCTTCCATGTTTCCTTCAACAACTGCCCTGGGCAGTTTTCTTCTTCTACGCATGTGATGTGGCACATGAGAGAGAGGATCCAGTGTAACTTCCATACCACTTTCTTGAGTAAACTTCCTGCCAATCATGTTCGATAATCCCATGGATCAATCCACATTCCTTGCATGAAGCCACACATGTCCATTTTTTCATTTTGTAACCAACTACTCCTGCACAAACGACAATAACAAAACAACATAATAATAATAATAAATATAAATGTCGCCATGTTTATTTGTGAAAAGATAATTCATGGTCTGAATCCGACAAACCATAATCGATAGGCCACAACCAATTAGATTAGATTTGGCCTATTGACAAGCCACAATCGACAGAAAATAAAATATAGTATCAACCGGTAGTAAAGGCCAAAGGGCAACTGGAGGCCAATTAAAGCATATCAACTCATCTTGCTCGTTTCCCTAAGATTCTAGGTCACCCTTATTGATCTCTCTCAGCTCTTTCAACTTAATGCATGCTATACAATCATATGAATGATACAGAACTTATGATCTTTCAAGATGTGTGTTGTTGATATACATTCTTTAGCTATGGAAAACTTAAATCGATAATACTAGTGTGAAAGGCAAAATCTCATTTAGTGACTTGAGACCCAAATTTTGGCCTTTGATGTCACAAGGAAATGAAACATATATAGGATAAGGTCCAACTATAATCTACTTTAACCCGTCAAAAAACATTGACCCAAATTAGTTACCCATTCATGACCCACCTAAAATTTAAACAATCCTCAGTTGGCAGATTTGGGTGGGGACTGATAGGTTTGAGTTGGGATTCTCTGACTTGTAACCTGAGACAGATTGACCTGTTTCTTGGGATTTTGAAAATGTGGTTGCTCTTACAAAACTCTGGTCACAGGGTTACCTTCTTCTTTTGTCTTTTTTTCTTCACGTGTATCCTATAATTTATTTGCTATGTCTAATTTTGAATTTGCAGAAAAAATGGGAAAGATATAGAAGGAAAATGCAGCGACTCAAAAAGTACTCTTTGAAAATGAATGTCTTATCAATTATGTTTGTCCACATGTACACTGCATCACTCACTAACACCCACAGTTTACTCCCACCCACAGCTTCAGTCCTCCAGCCTCTGCCCCAGTGGGTGCAGCGCTGAACATGAGTGCTGGCCAGCCATGCTCGACTCCCTCAGCTTCACCTCCGATTTTAGTACACACGTGGCTCTTCGTTGCAGAAACAGAGAGTTGAAGAAAGGAGGAGAGGTAGAGATGGTACATCTTCCCTTTAGTGTATTCATCTCAGATTGGTTAGTGTTGCACCGTAGTTCCTTAGCAGAGACAATAGTCTTTTACAAAATCTGCATTTGTTATAGTTATCCTTTTAACTTGATTTCAATTTTGTTAATAGTTTTCTAGAAGTCTTATTTATCGTATTTTTTTGTTTTTAGTAAATTTTTTTAAGGCACTCGGGTCAAATATCTAATATTTAATTTTCTAGGTCTAAAGGTCCAAGCGCTTATTTTCTTTGTCAAAAAGTTCATACAAAAAAATCAAACTATCCACGTATATATATTATACAGTAGACAAAGCAAAACAACCCCCCCCCCCCCACTCTCTCTCTCTCTCTCTCTCTCTCTAATTCCACCATCACCATGTTGCCCTCGCCCTCACCGTTCTTCACTCTGCCGATGGCCTACGATTGCTATCCTCCATCACCGTGTTTCTGCCACTATCGCTGTCGACGTCCTCGCCAAAACAAATCCTCTGTCTTCGTTGCCGCCGCCTCCATTCCGATCAGTCAGTCTCAACTCCAATCTCTTCGTCTATTATTGCAAGCACTGCAGATCTCATGTCCTCATCACTGGTTTGCTTCTCTCTCTCTCTCTCCGCAATCGATTTGCTTCGGACATCATTGCTCTGGTTTCACGACCTCTAGATACAGCTTTCATGCTTTTATACGCAGGTCTATTGATGTAGATTTCGCTGTGATTGTGGTAAGAATGTTCTCCATTTCCATTTTTATTTTATATATTTTTTTAAAAATTTATTTATATATTAAATTTGTTGGATTTTGAGTGATTGATGAGCTTGTTAAGTTGTTTTTGATTTTGTGTCTCTGAAGGTTGATGATGCTTTCTTGGTTATTTTGGTTGGTTGTCCGTGCTGATCTTTAAACCTGATGAAGGGTTTTGAAATTAGGGCTTGTGTGGGGTCTTTGGATGAGATGGAGAGGTTGAGATGTAGGGTTATGGCTGTGAAATCAGATTATGGTGAACTGCTAGAGAAAGATACAGTTGATTCACATCTAAATCATAAGCCATTGTGGCAACGACAAAAAAGGACCAGATTTAGTTTCAATTGAACTTCGCATTAAAGAAATCAAGGGTGTGTCTAAACATGTTGAGTGTGGAGAAGAAGTTGAAGAGTTTTGAGGTGGCTTTGAATTTATTAGTAGGGAGGTGAGAATATTTGGAAGGAGAAGAGAAGTTGCCATGTTTAGAGAGAGCGAGGGAGAGAATTAAGGGGGGGTCATTTTACTTGCACAAAAGTGATCCGGACTCTTTTTTTTTTCCCCACCCCCACGACCCTTTCTTGGATTGATTGGCCAGATTTTATTTATTTTTTAGGACAAAATAAGCTACAGGTGATAAGGGAGGATCCATTTAAAATTTGTACAAAACGAATATGGGAAAAAACATGTGAAATTTGTTCTCTCTCTGTTGATTGGATGATGATGGGGAGGAAATGAAAATTTTGCACAGATAAAATTTTGACATAAAGAAAATTTACATAGAAACATTTAAACAGATATGAAATTTCCATAGAAAAAATTTAAACAAATAGACAAAAAAAAAAAATTGAATAGATAGAAAATTATTTGAACAAATAATCAACGAAAAGCTCGATCAGATAAAAAAAAGTCAAGGGGTAAAATTAGAAACAGAATGTCTTCCAGGACTTCTTACCAAATTATTTCACAAACTGTGAACCTTTCATCAATAAAAAACAAAAAAGCACTAGACCTAATGCCTTAGACAGTTGCTAGAGTAGATTTTTCATCAATTTTCTCATTTTTTTACTATTTTAAGCAATTTTTTTTATTTTTTAGATACACAATATAAATATAATTGAAAAGTATAATATTTGTGAAAAAAAACTTTAGAAAAATCATTTAATACCAAAAATATGAAAATTTAATATATTGTTGTATTGTTTTGTATTTATTGATTTTTTAAATACATTTATGTTAGGTGTATTTAAAAAATAAAAAAAATTAAAATTAAAAATTGAAAACATTCATTAAAAATAAAAATAAAAATATATGAAAAATAAAAAATTAAATTTTTAAAAAATTAAATTCTGATAATTGAAACCAAACAAGATAATTGACTTCAGATTTTGATAAAATAAAAATAAAAAACTAATAATACAGTTCAAAAAATGGAATGATTAAGGCGCCAATTACGATAGATTGGTTAATGTATACAACAGAGATTTGTTTGATCCCAAGTTTAACTCTTTTCCGATACTTTTTAGCAGCAATCTGCTTATGGTGAGTTCTTTTTTATTTTTTTATTCATAACATTCAAAACTGCCAAATACTCCTGCATCTTAGCCATTTAAAAATAAAAATAAATAAATAAATAAAAAAGCAACTTCAAATGGACTTTGTTCAGCAACTATCTGCTTTATTTTAAACATCAACTGAAGTGTCATAAAATGCAAAATTCGATGAATGGAAAAAATTCTAACAAAAGTTCAGATTCTCACATAATAACAATGGTTTGATCTCCATAGGGCATTCAAACTCTGTTTGGGAAGAGGTGTTTTGGGTTTTTTTTACTAGAATAGTCACAAAAAATAGAATAGATTTTTTAATCCAATAAGATAAAGCATCACATCCAATCCATAATAATTACATTCTTTCTCTCACAAAAAAATCAAAAAAACAAAAAAAGTCAAAAGCGCTTCCCAAACTAGGCTTTTTAATTCCAGGCTAAAATAGTCAAAAAAATAAAAAAATAACCTACTTCCCAAACGACTTCTTAGTATGACAAACTCCACTTTCCAACCAGGATAGTTAAAAGAATACACTTTTTTTCTTTTTTTCTTTTTTTTTTGAGCTTTGACCTTTCTCTTATACGTATAAACATTCAAGTAGTTTCCACCTACTAGGGGTGAGCAGCGAATATAC